CCAACTCGTGGGAAGATTCATGGAGGATTTGATGAGGTAAAAACAATCCGGAAAAACTAAAACTCAGATCTAATCCGGTGGTCACATGGAGCAGCTTTAGTAATAATTACACTGTCATTGAGTTTCAAGGTTTAAAAAAATTAACTTTGCATAGGACTTCAACTCTCACCTCCGATATTAAGTAAACGATAAATAAATCAGAAAAAGTAGAAAGAAACATATACAAAGTATCTCGAATTTGCCCTGTATTTTGCAATAAACACTTTGTATATCCTTACAAAGAAAGAGTCGACTTACCCTAAATTCAAGTTACAAACAAACAAAATCCTAATTTTCTGTCTGAAAAAAGCCTTCAAGCTCAGTTATTGTGAACGGGGAGTTTCTAGTTGTCAGTAAACAAGCATATTAAAGAAGGGCTGTTTTCATATCCAGACATATTGCCTGCGGCAGACCCAGCACAAAGAAAATTAATGTGGTATGATTAAAATGAAATTAGCAATATGGCAAGAAATCAAAGTTAATATGGCGTTGTTGAAAACTGAAAACGTATAATACTTTCCCCAAGACAAAACATTAATTTTACATTGTAGGGGTCCGCTTATGTCTGTTTCGAAATACGGTACGGCTTTGTAGCATGGCCTTGTAATTATAATACAGAAAATACGGCATCTATTTTTTAAGATATTTTTTCATGAAAGCGTGCCGAAACGTATTTATTCTTAAAAAACGGTGCCTGGTAAATATTTATTGCTTTTTGACTTAATTACATTTGAAGAATGGTAAGAAAATTTTCAACGATGAAATATTTTACTGGAGGAAATAGAACTTAAATAATAACAGCAAATATTTGTTTCTCAAAGTTAAAAACTTTGAAATGTTGCAAGCCTCGGTATCATCTTCCGAGGGAAAAGTAAACAACTCGAATATTTTTCAGTTTTCAAATTGATTATGTAGATATGTATATTTAATTTTTCCAAAATTCCAATTAATAATGATGTTTAAAGAAGATGAAGATATTTGCTTAAATTTACTTTTGTAGGAATAATAACTCATATCAGCACTATTAACCGAAGGCAACTACGTAACTGAAATTGAAATAATCACTTAATTCCCATAACAGTTAAGGCCTTGTAATTTGCTTGAATGGATACTTAATTTATCCCAGTTGAGTCTTTATGTAATTCCAAGAATTCGCTTCGTAACTTATTATTTGACCTCTTAAAATTCGATTCTGAATTTCAGAATTACGATTTTCTGGATTTATATAAATTACAGTTCCCTTGCATGCAACGAACTTTTTTTGCTGAAAAACCACGCATGGCATTAATTATTCAAATAACTCAATATGCTTTAATACTAATCTATGTGAATATCGAAACTGCCAGCAAAACCAGTACAGTTTGCGTGGTTACTATCACGAATTTCACAAACGTTCGACATGCTGCATTTATTGCATCTGCATTGATTTGCACATAATTTCAGTTTCAAAATGCAATCGGGCTGAAAGTAAGTTACTTAAATGCATTATGCAGGAAACGAGCAAATGCGTCTCATTCACACTTTTCGATTGCGGAAAATCACTGACATAAGACAGGTTTTTAAACATAGGAATCCTTCATTCAAACATTTTAGATTTCGTATACTTATAAATGTTATCATCTAGACATATATTAAAAGAAATATAATAATATGTAGAATCGTCCAAGTAAAACGCAGTAAATCAGATTTATATTTAAAGAAAATTACATTGACTTTCTGCCTTGTTCTCTTTTATTCCTTTTTAAATTAGCTTGAACTCTAGAAACATCACAAATGCATGGTAATTACTTGCAAGGAAGTTAACAGATAAAACAGGCTGTACTATGTAGATTAAATCAGGCCAATTAATTAATGCAACAAAGCGTTGTATAGGAAAATTAAAGGAGATACAAATTTAATTCTGTACATTCAACTTTCTGCTACACGTTAGTTTGATCTCGATAATTTGCAAAAAATATGGGAACAGTAAAGCACAATTCCAAAAAATTAAACGATTTTCTTTGGTATCCAGTTTTCTCATACGTAAAGAGTCGTGTATCCTGTTAATTAAATGATTGCACATATTTTCATTGAGATGTGCATATATTAGATATTGAATATAATGGACAGGTAATAAAGGTATTATTATCCACTACAAATTTCTCCATAATTTTCAATCCCCAAATTTCCTGACATGTATACGAAAGTAACATAAAGTGGTAAATATTAAGGTTTTACTGAGAGGAAAACATTGGCAAAAGATGATGTGTGAGAAAGGTGCTGTGATCGACAGGAATTATGTCAGCAAATTCAATAATGCCGGTGTTAAGATTTCAGACACCTGGAAAATATTATTGACAACGAACAAAATCTGTAAATACTTTTGCTCTGTTATATTTTCCCGCCATAGTGAAGGAGCAAGATGATTACAATAAATGCCTGACCATCTATTTAGGTTTCAAAAAGGATGAGTAAAGAATACATATGCCCAATTGCGACAATTGTGAAGAAAAGTGGCATTTGCCAGAGACGTACCTAAGTCGACAAGATGAATATAGATTTTTTAAAACCTTTAAGTATGTACCGAATGTGTTGTTGTCAACATCCTAGTCGTTTGCATAGATCGACATTGGCATGACCCAAAACACCAATTGCCTCATTTTCTCCATTCGACTTATTTTGACTCTAGATGACGTCAATACCTTCTACCAAAATATTTACTAACTTCTGAAAACAAATTAGTTATTAATGCAAATAAACTTCCACAAAAATTATACGACTTCAACCAACTCCCCTTCTTTCCAATTTTTCTTTGTCCTAATAAAAGAGGAAATCAGACAATGCCTCTGGTATTTTTACTTAAAAATGAAAATTTAGTGAAACACCTCATGGAGCTGAAGAATTCAGGAAATGCCTCTTAATAAATATTTTCCTTAATTTAGACAATGTTGACGAAAGGAAGTTCGGTAGGTAATTAGGGGGATATCAGTGACCCTTTTCTTTGTAAAAATGAAGTACCTGGAATGGTTTCAGACACGACAGAGAAGCGCCTCGCTTTGGCCTAATTGGGAATATTTACAGCTAAAGTATATTTTTGCCTAAAGCAACGTTGTAACAATATATGAAACATGTTGAGAAGAGCAGAAAATATACCACATCTTATTTCAGCAAATTTCCTTCAGCGTATGCCTTGCGAGACAGTTAGAAAATTTTGTTTAATAAAGCAGCACGGATTGTTAGACATGTCTCCATAATTTTCGTGGTGCATGAAAGTTATTCTGCTTCTATATATGCAACATACTGACTATTTTCTAGTCTCTCTTCGACAATTTCAGACTTCCGGCTCCTCTTTTATTATGCTGAGCATTCAAACTTCCCAGTTTCAGAAAAAGTATTGTTTCTCCTTTAATCGACCGATTTTATTCCGTTTTCCTTCTGAATCTGTTTGTGTCTCTGTGAATACTTTCAAGCCTTTTTAAGAGCGCTGATTATTTTCGTGTAAATGCTTTATACGTGTTAAGGCGATTTGATGCAGTTATTTTTTGTATTTAAGTTGAATAATAATAAAAACATGAAACAAAACAGGCAGTTCCTGTCTAAATCTACATGTAATATTTAGGTCGGCGTTCCTACTTTATATTTTTCAAGTTAGATTTTTTTCTAATTAATCTAGTTAAATTTAGTCCGGAAATCGTCAATATTTTGAAACATTTAAGATCTAATCGTGACAAATATATGAAGACAAATGCAGTAGGGAAATTTTTTTAAATTTTTGGAATTGTTTGTTGCCACTTTAAACAGTAGAAAAATAAATATGAATGTAGTTTTCATTTATTTATAAACTGTGGCTACTTTTGATTTGTGGTATCTGATGTGCAACCAACTTATTATTTGAAGCTAAAACCCGATATAAAAGCATAAAATAACAGAGTTTTCTGCGAGTTTTTACAGAATATTGTCCGTTGGATAGATGTTATTGTTTCTCAAAATAAATTAACAGTATTGTTTCAAAAAAACCTGACAAAGTATTTCAAGTACTGAGGATTTAGTTGACAAGTTCCGAGAAACGTTTATATAAACATCCAATTGTGTGACAGAATATAATAATTATTTTCGCTGTTTCTTTTTCATCGACGGTGTAAATGGTCGACAGAGCGTAAAAAAGATAAGACTCTGAAATGTCAAGAACGTTGATATACATTGATTGTACTTGATTGAGCGTCGTTTGCCCATCAAACCTCCTATCGGTAAAACGTTCAATAATAATTATCGTCAGTTTGAAAATGAACAATTGCCTTAATACGTGAAAGATGCATATAAACCACGATTCGTTTCTAATAGCATTCTTTCGTGCTCTATTAAGTACATTATAAACCGTTAAATGCAATTTGAGAAATGTTATTTGGTTGGATATATGTTGTCTAGACTAACTAAGAAAATTGTGTAAAATAGTGTGACAGGCATCAGGCGATCGTGCTTATAAAGGAGTAACAGCAAGGGCCCCATAATGGCCTGTTGTAGCAAATGTGGAGCACCTCTAAGCTATCTACAAGAACGGGGTGACCTCCACTTACCATTTTATTGTCGCTTATGGTGGTAATGCTTCGAACAAACAGGTTAACTCGGACAATCGCAGGTCCATCTAGAGATATGAGGGGTTTATACGTTCATCCTCTCTGAAATCTCGACTTATAGAATTTAAATATTGTGCCGAGTACTCAGAGATATCGTCCGCAATATCCGAAATATTTATATTAGACTCTAGTCCAAAGGATTTCAAAAAAATAGTCAGGAACTTGATGAAATGGTAATAGAGATATACTTCTTGACTACTTTTTGCTACTGTACCTGAATTAATTATCACGCATCAGGTAATGTACAAGAACAACAAGTATAAGGACACGATTATGAGTGTTCTGCATTGCTCTCTCACTTTCTCATTGCTGCTCTCTATATGTTCAAGTAGGGGAATTAGCACTCACCTGTTCCATTAACACCTGAAGGTCTTATCCTAGCATCGTATCGTCCTGGTCCAAGAATCTGATCCAACACTTCCTTTTCCTTCTCCCGAAAGTTGATTTTCGCGTTGGAGCCCGAACATCTGCGACAAATTTAATTATCAAGCTAGCTTTTTACATTTTTATAACGATAATCCATCATAGCATCCTCGTGCTTAATAATTGACATTTAGCCTAAAAACAGCCCATTGTTTATGAAAACAGGGGTATGGAGGTCTTTGCTCCCTTTGTAGATTATGGAAAACATTTTTCAATCGGTGACCTAAATATGACAAGAGGGATTTTGTGTCGTCATCTAGTGGTAGTATTTTTACATAGAGTCGCATTCTTCATCTATTTTCAACTGGAATTATCCCTTCGTATCATCCATTAAAATTCCTCCTCGATCTTTATCGTTCCCTCGAACCCTTGCCAGCATAAACTTTTTAAACTATACTTCAGGTATTCTTATTTAAAGTAAAATAAATGTGTTTTGTTTGTTAAATTTCAGCGTCAACTTTTGTAACTTTTAAATCCATAAGGATTTGTATATGAATATTGAAAAACTAGTTCAGTTTCAAAAGTTAAAAATACATTTTCCGAAACAATAAATTCGGAATACATTCAATAATGTTACACCTAACCAATCTAAAACCATCAAAACTATCTAACCATTTGAAGTGATTTATTTTTTAAGTAAGTTACTTTTATGGTTTCACTTTAAAGAATTACAAAATTTCAAAAATAAACAGTTTGTATTTCATCGCAATAATTTATCTTGCTTTAAGTGACTCCAAGAGTTTAGTTAGCAAATGGAAAACTGTTATTGATCTTTCCAGATACGGATTTCGTTACTGCTAAGAAATAGCAGAATAACTCCTGTTCAGACTTGGTGGTTTTGAAATTAATCAGATCTGTAATCATGTATACGATAGGAAATATTAATACTCAATTTTCCATTCCACTCAAAATTATCTGGAGCATATAATGTGCAATAGGAACTAATCCCGCAATCCACAAGCAAATTATCTGGCATTAACTAACAAGGAAATTACGAAATAAATTATTCAAATAAATAAATAGTTTAGCTTGTAATTATCGCTTTGATAATTAGAATCAACGCCTATTCCTAGAAGTTTGAGCCAGGCCAAGAGAAAATTTAAGGTGCGACCCTAATACATCCTAATTAGGTACATGAAAGGAAATATGATTACTACTGTTTCCTTTCCATAAACTTTGAACTACCCAAGCTAATTTCCGTTAGATATTGCAAAATATATAATGGTTCTAATAGTTCGATTTGATTAACTTGAGGTTGATTTAAACGGTGACTAATTTTAATGTAATATGAAAATGTTTGATAATCTTATGTATCTGGTTGTCATGAATCGTAGACTTAAATACGAAAGTTGAAATTTAAAAAAATGTCTGACAACAAATTTAAACCGGTTATTCTTCAATAAGATGCAAAAATTATATGAGCATTCCAGGAAAGTTGCACTTTTGTCAGTCATTTTAGAGTATCTTAATTTGCAAAACTGTATAAGAAATTAAATGAAAGAATCCCAAAAAAATGGAAACGGAACAGTTGCCATTTTTAAAGTTAAGCGTTTTCACAACATGCAAATTTTTTTAAAAATTTATCGTTATTGAAAATCTTTTCCTACATTGAAATTTCGACTTCTATAAATTGACAAGTCCTCTATGAGATATGTGCAAATAATTCCTGACCAATATTAATTAAGTAAATAACAGCTCTAAAGATCGCATTTTTCAACATTAAGGCGTTAAAACTGGAATATTTCAAACGGTTTTTAAAACCCACTAGAGCGGACTGGATAAGAACTTCTCTGGTGTTAATCGCGGTGTTTTATAGATACGTTCTCTCAATTTAATTAAGCCATTCAAAATTCACCACTAAGTTTTTTAGCACTGAAATAATCAAATTTTTATTTTCACTTTCAAACAATTTTAGTTACCCTGTTATTGACATTATTCTATATTATTAATAATAAAGTATAATTATAAAATAGATATATTGTGCAAACGAACACCACTAAAGACAAAAATTGTAATGTTGAAAATTAAACCCTCACTTACTATTGTATAAGAATTAGCAAATTTCTGACTGATTACCTTGGAAGACTACATATTTACAGTTTTGAGTAGTTGCTTAGCCGGAACCGCTTCATTAAAAATCAGCTATTTTTTTAATTTCAAAAAATGTAAAACACAAATTCTCATAACATATTGGCTCTAACCGGATTAAAAAGTAACCATAGCCGGGCTATAAAACATGGATTTAAGCGACCTATTATGAGCGGTTGGCTCTAGCACATACGTACTGCAAAATACACAATCCCAAAAATCGAGACAAAACCGACTGATTTTCAACGATCCGGGTATAAATGAAAGACAAATATGCTTAAAGCGAGTTAAATGTTTATGCGATGAAATACGTTATTAATTCAATACTTCAAAAAGTTAACTTCAGCAAAAAAGCAGGTCTAAAGCAGAACGGTTTTCAATTCATGTATTCAAAAACTGCTTGGCAATCAACTGCTCTGCAGTATTTAAATGCGTTGGACAAGATTCCCAACTTCGCTAATTTACGCGCGTTATTTTTTCAATCAAAAATAAGTTTAAGAATTTTTTAAATTATGAGAAAGATACGTGCGACCAACATTAGTTTATAACTTTCGCATATTTGCATATGACAAGTGCCAGAAAAAATAAACTACTATACAACACAAACAGTAAAATAAGTTGTTTACTTACGGATAGTAACAAGCAGCATGAAGAAAAACTGCAATAAAAATAGTCAAAACCAACTCGTTAACCATTGCACAGGGCCCACAAAATCTAACAATGCGTAAAAATGTTTAATTATGTTTTATCATTTTCGGGTATAAGAAAAATAATCAGCGATGTCACAAACGGACATTCAGCTACAAATAACAGCAACTGCTTTCCACCTCAACTGAAGCTAGTCTGATTTTGAGGATAGAGGTGGGACGGTCAGAGTTTATATTGATCGTCTAGCAGCGGCGCTGTATTTTCCTCTACAACGCTCTCTCAAATTTTCAGCGAAAATGAAAATTCTCGCTCATTTTCCCCTGGTTTTATACCTTCGGTATCGCCGTGGTTGCATATGTGCCCCTGTAAGTTATTTTATTGCTTTGCTTCACAACAGAAATGATTTCCGAAAACCGGAAATTGATTTCCAAAAACTTTCCACTCTAAAACCGCTAGCCAATTATAAGTTAGAATCAGCATCGCTATGACGTCATATCCGACCCGTTTTCGTATTTATGTCGTCACTTGGTGTGTTATTCTATCTTGCTGGATAGAAATCGTATTTGCATTATTCGGCCAACTATGGCTAAGGAGCGAAAACAATTAAACTGTCGCGAATTCCGTGGAAACATTTATTTAGGAAAAATGTTGCTATTTGACAATTTTCATCGTTTCAATAATGAAATAAAATATTTGCATTATTGCAGGATTGAATTAAAAACGTTAATGTAAGGAAAATAAACCCTTAGAACGTTTTACCCGGCTCAATTGCAAGGTAAGTTCAAAGCTACTCGCGAGTTTTTAAAATTTCTCGCATAGGCTAAAATAAAACGGGATCGTTCATTTGCTTAAAATAATGCAATTGTAGTTCTTTGACACAAAGTAATTGCATAAATATAGCTAGAACGGTTTATAAAAAGAAGTTATTTTAGTTCCTGCCTACTGATTTTGAACATAAAAGCCACTACTGATGACTGATCAGATGATTCCGAAGAGTAAAATTCAGTCTGAGAGATAACGTTCCTCCAGCCGAACATTTCTTTAGTAATTTTTTTGCTTTAGCCCAATGTTTAAATCTGTATTTGCCCTTCGAAGACTCAATTTATGCCTCAATGCATAAACAAACACCGATACAGTTTTTTTTCTGGATACTCCATGCAAAACACTTCCAAAAACAGACGAGAAAATATAGATTTGTGTAGAATTGCTGAAATTGGGGCAATTAAAAAAAAAACATATTAAATTATTTACTATTACATTCACTACTTCCGTCGACCACGTTGGCGTGTTGCAACGCAGTAATAATTTTCCTAAGCCCTTGTTACTTAAACTATAAATAAATTTATTGCATTTCTATAATTCTATTGATGAAATTATTCGCTTGACGTGATGCATCTACCATTTAAAAACTTTATTTTATTTCATAATTTACAGAGGAAAATGGTAATCCGTATGAAATTTCATATTCAAGTCGCCATTTAACGCAAGCTATTATACTCTGTTATAATTCTACCATTATTTAACTATTGTTCGAAAGACTCACATTAATTTAATTCCCCATTGTACTAGTTTTGATCCCCAAATAGAGGTTTCCACAACAGAGTTTAGGACCAAATTAAAATATATGTCGGCTAAATGTTCGTAAACTCAAATATCAATAGTAAAGTTCGCAAGTTACATCGCAATAAAAACTGCAACTTAATATTAAAATAATTAATTTAATAATACGGCTCAGTTTTAAATTTAGGCGAGTAACTTAAGCATTGAAGTTATCATTAGATCTTTTCAGAAAAAATAACTGATAGCAAGTATCATATTTCATAACAATGGATCTTTTCTTAGCAATTTTATTCCTTAGTACTTTCGAGTCGAAACTGTACTTGGAGTTAATGCAGTGGAGTACTTTTCGAATGTAATTTTCTCAGAGCCCAAAACGGTTTTTCACTTATTTGAAATTCTAACTAGAATAAAAAAAAAAAACACTATTAGAATAAAAACTACAATTTCCAACATTTATATTTGCGTCTTTGCGTAAATTGTCTTATTGTTGCATTCAACAATCCCTAGAAGTTTGATTCTATAGTTCTAAATCACTCTGTATATTTTTCTTCATTGGTGCTGAGCATGTACAATGTGCTGCAAATATTTGCTATCCGCCAATCTGTGAATGGCAGAGAAGATAAAAAGCGAAAACAAACAGTGCATTTAATTGATGACTCAATCTTTATTTATTTCTATTTAGAGTACAAGATCCGTAGATAAAATAAAGTATCTTATTTATGAACACAAACATTTAGGGTTGTGTCTTGCTCCACTCCGTGATCAAACGCCAAATGGCAATTTTATTATTTTTTCATATCAATTTTTCAGTACAGTTAAAAAATTAATTTAAAATTCATGGCATTAAACACTTAATGACTCCGAAGCACTTTGCAAAAAGGAAAATATTGAAACTTTTCGAAAACACGTGTTATAATCCTCTTACCGGCGTTTTCTTCACACAATTTTAATATCTTGGCAATGGAAACATAACAAATTCATCAAAACGTTAAGCGGATTTAATGGAAAGTGATAATATTTATTCAATAGAATCGTTCGTATTGCCAACACTTGAAAGCTAAAAACATATTAATTAGTATTAAATAATCGGGGAATGTTTAGGTTTCGACAAAAAATAAAAAGTGTTCTATGAGACAGTAATAAACTGGACTTTAAAATTATAACTATAATAAACCCTTTGAAATTATTTTTTTTAATATTTAGGATTAAGCTCCGATCAATGTTAACGTGACGAACGTGTGTTTCTTTGGAAAAGTATGTTAGAAAATGTAACAAAGTAAAAAAAATAGAACCTGCAAAGTCAATTGCAAAATATAATTGAAATTGATAACTTGACCTTAGAATAATGATACTTCCAAGCAACAGTAAAGTGCAAATTGTTCGTCTATTGCTTCTGTTGTTTTTTTTTAGTTTTCAGAATCTTGGGCACCCTCATTCTTTAAAAGCGAATAGCTGACGCCAGTTTCAGTGTCAGCTTCTCGATGTTATTAAACTTTCACTTCAATTCTTTTCAATTTTGCATGAATGGCTCCCTTATATTCTAAACATGTAAACAACCTTCTCATAAAAATGTGAAGATGTACAATTGATGTTGCTTTGAACTTCGAATATTGACAATAAAGTAAATTTATCGTTTATATTAAATCATATCTCGCTTATATTATTTTATGGAAATTTGGTGTTTGTATAATATGTTGCTTATTTCGCAACTTTTGGGGGTTTTTCTTTGAGCAATCAGATTTGCTTTAGTTTCTTTTATTATTTAAAAAAGCCTGCAAATCTAAATGCATGCACCTTCACTAATGAGTCTTGGAACACTATTTTCTTAGCAAAAAATGCAAAAAAAGATCAATTCATTTTCGGGAAATTTATGTAATATTCTGCTTATGTTTTGGTTGCCTTTTACTTATAATAAATGAATTTAGTTGTTAAAATCCCGTTTTATATTATAAGAAAATATATTTTTACCGCTAAACGACCCATTCAAATTTTGGAACTATGAAAGCATATCCCCTTCGCTATTAATTCTTCTTCGCGAATCTGGGTGAAGGTTCCGCAAAAATAGTGGTGTAATTTGATATAGCCATTAAAAGTTTGTCAGCATCCCTAATGGGCCTACATGTTTTGAGGTTTGGATTTACGCTTTGAGTCTACTAAAATATAAATGCTTTTTGTTGTTATTGTCAATATTTACTGATTATTAATTTATGGCATCCTTTTTCCGTTAAAATTAGAAGCTCCATTCATTCCAAACTGTTAACAATTACACTAGTGTACAGGATGTTAAGCGATCGATGTCTGGAACTTGATTTGAATATTTATTGAAGCTTGTAAGTGTTTTATTTCCTTGTAGACTAGATTTCCAAAAAAATAAATATTGATGACGCAAGATGTACATCAAAAGAAAAACTATAAGTTCTTACATGCATGTGTAGCGGTTTAAATTGATTTTGAAAAAATTCAATATTTGTTCAAAATAATGAATTTTTCTGAAACGAATACACCAAAATTAATAACCGTTTTGCTTTCCTTGAAATAAGGTAAAAATAAATGTTTAAACGCTTCCGACGCTTAAGACGCATTACTCGTCATAGGTTCAGTTAAGTTTTTTGAAACATAATCAATCACTCTCAATATAGGACAAGCTCTATCCGAATACTCTGTATAGGAGAAGGCTGTGTGGACTTGCAGGATTTTGTTGACCGAGGACTGACTATTTAACGAGAGTTTCTTATATTTTCTGCAAGCTGACGGCATAAATCATTAAACCGATAACCAGGAAAACAGGTTGCGCAAAGAAGTTACTTCTGGAAAAGTTGAGCCAATATGAACAATGTTTCAACGGGAGATTATTAATCTGAAGCCGGGAATTCGATAATGTCGAATCGAGGATTTAAATTTAATACTCATATAAGTCGGTTTCCATGCTTGGAGAAATTCGTTGAAAGAGGAAAAGATTAAGAAATGGTTTTTAATGAAAACTGCTGCGGCTCCAAAACAAAATCTAATGACAAAACGTTTTCCTGTCTGTTTAAACAAACACTGTTAATTCCAATTGATCGACCAATGACACACAGTTCATATTACCTTTGAGTCTGCTCATATTATAATTATAGTAAAGCGGAGATTTGATATGCAATTAGCAACCTGATTTGAATAGATTTATTGAAATATGAGCACGTAAATATCAATTACAAATGATCTCATATGGAGCTCGTCGAATTTAGTCAATTGATAGATATTGCTTAAAACACAGACTAGTTACTAATAAGCTTTTCTAAAATAAAATTTATTATTCATATATGAGCATTTTTTCATCATTGCTAATGATATCAATTCGGGTGTTTCTACAGAATTTTGCAGCGCACAAAAAGCTTGCGAAATGGAACCAAAATCGATAATATTACTGCTTAATATTTATACTTTCAAACAATAGCAAAATACAGCAAAACAATTTAGGTTTATTATCGAAGCTTTTTGATATTGCTTCCTGTTGTTTTTGTGCCCCTCGGGAGTCCTCATCCTTTATAAGCGAATATTTGACATCAACTTTACTGTCAGCGTCTCGTTGTTATTAAAGTTTTACTTATTTTCTCCCAATTTTGGGTGAATGGCTTATGTTCAGAACATGTAAACAAACTGCTCGCAAAAAATGGTGATGTACAATTGACGTTGGTGTACTGGTCCTGAATTGTTAGTGAGTTCAAAATTGGAAATGAGTAAGTTTTGAGCTGAGACTGTTTGTGCGAGAACAAAGAAAACAATCTAATGAAGCCAAGGGAAAATGTATGGAAAAAGTTCGTCTCCTACAAAAATCGTCGGGTTCATTTTATATCAAAATGCAGCAAAAAATAGATGAATTCATTCTTGAAGTCGTATCTGGCCAAGCAGCAACGAACAAAATTTCAGTCTTCATCTGTCGATACAATCTAAAAACCTCTTCAAGCTGAGGCAGATCGAGGAAATGCAATATTTGAAGCATATTCAATCTGAAGCCCTCGAATAATGTTTAAATATTCTTCAACAACTTTCTCTTGTTTCAGTGATTAGAATTCGATTTGTTTTTTTGTGATCAACCTGTGGTTTAGAGTTTCCTACTTTCTCACAAAGTTGTATTGTCTTATACTTTTGCTTTCAGTATGAAAGCATTTTTAGCTGGTAAAGATTTTTGAATAGTTCTAAATCATTAGGGTTAAATAATGCTTAACAAATATATCAATGCTTCAATTTGTAGAATTAAACTTTTTTATCAACTTGGGGTTTAGAGATTCCTACTTTTCGTCGCCTTTTACTTATATAATAAATGAATTTAATGACCCAACAATCAAATTTAATATTGGATATAGGTATGAATCATCTATTGACTATTGAATCGCTTCTGAAATTGGCGATAATTATTTTTCTAATATGAAAGTTGTATGTTTTAAGACTTTTGCCTTCAATTTGAAGGCATTTTTAGGTGGTAAATTATTAACACACTTATTTTTTTTCAGCTGCGAAGGTGTAGATCACCAGATTCAAATGCTTAACAATGTAAGTTGCAACGTAATGTCTTTCCGGACATCTGTTAATCATTGGTAAGAGGAAGGAAAATAAAAAAGATGTAACTAGTTCTTCTTGTACCTACTTTATTTTATATGTTCTCAAATCTACGGTTAACATAGAACGAAATACAACACTAGCATTTATTCTAACAGTTGGATAATGAATTCTAGACACGTTCCTTAGAAAATAATTTAAACAAACAGTGCAGGTTAATGGCACTTTCTGGCAAATACCGCTAAGTTCATAGAAAAGTTGAATCTGTTCCTAAGTAATTAAGTACCCAAAAGTTGAATTGTGTGAAATGTGCAAATTAGCGACTAGGTTTGAATAGAATTATTGAATTATAGACACGCAAATAACCGCGAAATTTCCCCTTATTTAATTGCATAAACGTGGAATTTTAGTCAATAGTCAAAGTCAAGTCATGTAGCTGAGAAACTAGCCTGGTTCGAATTCCTCCTTTCATTTAAAGTAGCTTTCAACTCCATAGCAAGTTTGTAACCCAATTCCGGTCTGCGGTCTCTACCTTCCACCATCGCTTTGACTTGGGAAGAATTTACTATAACTCCATTATTTGTAATTACGGTATTTTTAGTTTTTTCTATATCAGTTAGATCCACGCCTCTGCTGCAATCGTCTAAGAGGATTGTTCGATATCCTATTGCCAGAGCATCCACAGCAGTAGCCCCTATAAATTGAACATTAGCATTCTCAGTCAGTTTTTCACTTAACTGACCTACCTACACATACATCGTAGGCCAAACCACAAATGTAAATGTCGGTTGCATTTCGCATCCGAAGCTGTGCACATAAAGTAGTATCAGTCATCTTCTTATTATCCCAAAATACTGAATAAGAGTCAACATCTGGATTCGTACCCTTGTAGACTTTCGTAGCATTATCGAAAACCTGATTGGGAAACCCAGACATTTCAATCAAACATTCCAGACACTACAAAAACTTTATCAAGGAGATTCTTAAAGATTTATGTCGGATATTTATTTTCTTTTCAAAGCCTTAATAAGAGAACTTCAAACTCAGGCAATTTTAAGACATGCAAACGGAAAATTTCTCAATCTAGTCTGAACAGATGAGCAATTATTTAAAATATCAAGGCAACATGGCGTATACGCTTTTCATAAGAAGCTTTCTATAGTGCATATGTTTAGGATGCTTGTAGCTCAGTATGTTCAGATCGAGCGATTTGGAAAGTCAATAGCATAAGTACATTACCAATATTTACTTCAAAGCAAGTCCAAGATCTCCTCTAAGGATATAAAACCGATGGTCAAGAATGCAGTTCTTGAAATAAATTACTAGCGACGTTGCTAAGGAATATCAAAATGGCTCTGGAATTTTCTAAATTAAATATTTGGAGTGTATGAATAGCATTGAATTTTTAATTGCTTGCTAAAAACCACCATATAGCTTTTTTCAATACGAGCAGTTAACCAAAGTTAATTATTAAATTAATTGCCTACAACACAAATTTTTATTTACGGAAACGGCGGAATTATTTGCAGAGAAATTCTGCGGGTATTTCAATTTCTGCTTGGAAATCAACTACGGCGTCTTAAAATAACTATTAAATTTAAGATTTAATAAGATGATGTATTAATTTCCCAGGATGTAGTTGTTCCCATTTACGTAATTTTTGAGTTTTATCTAACATCCAAAGATTAATTTATTCAAAGTCAAAATAACAGTCAAAATAAAATGTAGTCAAAGGTTCTTTAAAATATTGAAGCATCTGAAACTTCTCAACTGACTATCTTTCAACATTTTCGAACATTTAATTAACAGGCATTGACTTCAGTCAAAGCAATTTGACTGAAAAATAATATTGCGACGTTCAAACCGTAAAATAGTAATACTTTTTTGGAGGTAACTTTGCTACACAACACGTGTGGCTGTTGTGATGTTGCACAATTCAAATTAACTTTGAAATTGATTTAAATATATTCTATTGAAATTGCAAGCTTTTGAGCCACGTTCAGTATGTAGCTACCAGTTTTTTATCTCATTTTTTTTATCAAAATAAAGTACGTGCTATCCAATACGGTACAGTTTTCTGGATATGTCGGATTTCATTTCCAAATCCTTGTTTTTTTACCGGCGAACAATGAAAAATTGGTTCTCTTTGCTTATTACATATTGATATAAGAAGCTGTTTGATCTTCTGCAAGCAAACATTATAAATCGCTATACCGATAGCCAGGAATTCAGGTTGTGCAAAGAAATTATTTCTCGAAACCTGAGCCAATATACACAATGCTTCAAAAAGCGTATTAATAACACGAATTCTGTTATGTACTACTTGAACTTGAAATTTCATAGTGAAAAATAATATATTTGCACTATAAGATGATCATGTCAGTCTGATGTGGATAAAATAACTTTATCAGAGGGCACAACTTTGCCAAACACAGTCTTTTTTAGTAGAGCGGTAGATAATTCGTCCATAAATCACACTAGTCTAGTCAATTTGAATTGATTTTCCACTGATAAATATTTTTAAGGAGTTGCACTCCACTTTTTCCAAGTCGAAATGCTCTTTTCTTGAATGTAGACAAACGGGGAAATAGTCTACTTTGGTTTATTCAATATTAATGTTCGAAAATATGTTTTGCTCCAGGTAAAAAAAATACCTTTAAATCCTTGTGCAGTTCAGATCCCCAAGTATCCTGTACACAATGTCTTGGCCACAGCCTCTGCTTCTGAGGAGGCGAACCACAAAAAATCACGGTATCATAAGTCTGGGCATTTTCTGCCGTCACTGGGCTGCTTGGATCCAACTCTCTTTCTCCGATATTTTCAATAAACGATACATGATCACTCGGATGCCAATCCAAGGAATAGAAAACTGCATCAAATTTAACTGTGTCCAAAAGCTTGTTGATTGGCTCAATGACGTCAAGTCCTAGCAATGGTAAATGCTTCTTAGTTCTCGCAATGAACGAAAAAGCATCTGTATTTACCGTTTTGCTGTGCAGAACAGTTGCTGATATTTAAAGTACCCGAGATGAAGTCATTTTGAACATCTACTATTAGAAAAGCAGATATTGGTCGAACAATCTGCAATAAGATTTTCATTTTAAAAGTTTCAAAGCTTTCCCATTGCATCACAAAATTTATGAACGTTGGAAGCTTTCTATCCGTTACTTAAAAAGGGGTTTTTACCAGAAAAAAATCATCAAATAGTACCCCACTGCTCAAAATAAAAATTGGATAATATAAAATTTAAATTTTATTAGTGTCTGTCTGTTTAATTTTTTTTCCAGAGAAAACTAATAAAATTTAAATAAATTAGCAGGCTAAATTACAATTAAATAAATGTATAATGCTTCTTTATCGAGCTTGCAAGGTGTTAAATTATTCACAATACTAAGACAAGACCCTGTATATTTACACCACAAATAACAAAACAAGCAAAGCTATTCTAAATATATAATAGGTAAAAGTTAGATTCTATCAGTGGCGGCACTAGGGGTGGGCGAGGCTGGGCGAACGCCAAAATTTGTCTCGCCCAACCACTTTTAATAGCGATATAAATAATTGCAAATTAACAAAATGATATGAAATTCTACAATAATGATAGTGAACGTGAAAATATTCCGAGTTGTTCGGGAATTGAAAAGTAAGTTTTAAGTACTCAATATTAATAAATTATTTTATAATCTAAATATGGGTACAAAGAAGCTGTATTCCGTTTTCTTTAGTAGATTTTTCTTCAAGCAAGGTGAAACCAGCAGTTTAAGTTTTGTTACTGAAGAATAATAGAAGAATGCCTCTCGAATGTTCTGCGAGCATAACTATTTCATTATTGAATTATTTCACTACCTTATGAAAGTTTAATTCACTGTTTACAATGTTTTTTTTGTTAATTTAAATATTTTAAATTTACTTGCTTGTAGTAACAGGAATTATTCAATTCGAAAAATAGATTCGTTTATAATAGTTTTTAGTACAATACTAGTGTTGTAGCCTAGATTTCACAGTTGTGAAATATATTTTTGTAACATTTATTTCGTTATTATACCTATACGAAAGTAGATAAAATCTGGTATAGTATAGGTAGATAATATTTGTATTGCACATTCATATTGCGACACTCAAGGTATTGTCAAACTCTGTTAGCTCCTTGATTGACAAAAACATGTCGTTATAAGTGCTTACTAAAAATGAATCTTCGCAACGGTTGTATGTTAAATAACAATAACAAAAAAATATTTCACATTATATTCGGCCAAAGAATAAAACAAAATATTTATTAAAAGAGATATATTATATCAAACTCTTACAATTAAGAGTGTAAATATCTCCGGCCCATCTTGAAAAAGTTTCCGCCGGCTTTTGCCCAAGCGGAAAATAGAGCTGCCGCGGCCACTGGATTCCATATACTTACTTTGTACCTACTATAAACATATTACGATTTACATATTGTAATTTGATACTGAACGCAAAAAACTAAATAACTAGCGCTGGTTCTGCAATCAAATTAGACTCGAGTCTATTGTTTAAGGTAGCGCTAGAGTTCAGACTAGTTCTGCATTAATTACTGCTGTGAAAATGAATACGAAGAATATCGCTTCAACAACTCGTGTTGAATCAATATTCTAATAAAAAAATTAATAATACTTAAATTAACTGTCCAGCTACTTTCGATGTGAAAAAATGCATACAACTTTAATCCAATGATTCCAACAGAAAGCAAATTCCTCCTTATCAATATGGCTGTCTCCATTTAAATCAAACACATTAAAAGTGTCTTTTAATTGTTGATCTTCAAGCCGGTAGATTTTGCCGGTATCATTTCTAAATAATGCTCGTGTCAACAATTTGAATTCTTCAATATTTAAAAAACCATCCCTAAAAACATGAACTAGATTCAGTCTCGTACACACCTAGATAGATATTTTCTTAACTTAAAAAAGGGTATATAAAAGCAAAAGTGAATATATAGATAAAAGATCTTAACTGCAAAATATTGTTTGACATATATATAATGTATTGTAAGTAAAACAATTGTTTCTCCGGGTTATTTGAAAAATATTCTAAAAAATGTTTAAAACTTTAGTTTAGCTAACTAATTTGCATTTTTCTGATAAGTATATAATACCCACTCTTTGCTAGATAAGTTAAAAATGATAGATAATGGCCAATTTCGCTTGTTTTTGTGCGAAGGTTTGTCTAGCCGATAGACTCTAGCGTGTTTAAAAACCAATGTGTTCTTTGAGAACTGAAAAATGTGTGCTAAGCAATTATGTAGTTGTTATTTAATTTTAATTTTACTGATATTGATGCAAACACTTTTGGAATTTTTTCTTCAACATATGTAGATGTAGGTAAGCGATCTACGCCTATTGCACCAGCAACAATAGAAGACAACAAACCACTGGCTTTAGAGAATAAAGTCTTAGGAAAGTAGAACAGTCCTATCCGGAAATCGAAAGCTTAATTAATTGCGGAATATCTGAAATCGGAAAATGGTTGGTACTAAATAATAATAAAAATAATAAAAATATGTAAAATTGAAATATTCCAAAGTTCCGCAACAGGACTGTATCAGTCGGTAGTGGTCAACATTTAAAGTTAATTTGAAATATTATTATATAAGCATTAGATGTTAAGCAAAGTTTTGGATGTACCTATCAGTTGAAATTAAATTTAAGAAATTTGCTTATTTTTAATACTTAGAATGTATGTAGCCAAATAATTTTTCAAGTAAGTTTAAATTAATTTTAATTGTATAATAAATCCCGCAAATATTGGTTATTCCACATACTTAAATGCGTTTCGCCCAATAAAAATTTAGATTGCTGCAAATATCCCGTAAATTCGTAAGAAAAGGTAATCTTGTTGAAGAACCGCTTAAGTTCAAGAAAAATAACTGAATCCATGTAAAATGAGATTGCACCGATCGATATAAATCCGAATATCTCTAAAACGACCTTCAGGGGCCTTTCAAAATGCAATTATATTGCATGAAAGCAAATGAAAAAGCACATGTTTTAATTTAAGGGGCTCTAACTATACTGAGAAAACAGTGGCATCGATTTAATCAGCGCATAATACAATTCTTTGCCGCTCTGTGGTTATATACAAACGTTTTGTTATGACTTTGAAAAATATATAAATGTTAGTCGTGCTGTACATAAAAGCCATCTAAATTTATAGATATAGTATGTACCCTAATAAACACCTTGTATGCGTTAAGAATATTGAATTGGTAGGTAGGTAGTTAATGTAAAGGCCAGAAAATGCTAAAATCCGGTAAAATATAGGCACCCCCGGTAGCACACAAATATTTCAGTAATATTTTTTTCGAAATGTTTAATGTAGATCTGACGCTACAGATTCTTACATATTTAAGAAATATTTCTTTTAAATATTTATTTGACATTTAAATCAGATATTTAAAAAATATTTTTAAAAAATATTTATTTGACATTTAACTCAGATATTTGAAAAATATATATTTTTTAATATTTATTTGACATTTATATTAGATATTAGTTTCATTAATATTAATTAACAATTTTATTAGATTTTTTTTAATGGCTACCACCCCTTGGGAATTCAGCCAGTTGGGAGTTCAGCCATTCATTTTTTAAATAGTGCAATATTTTTGTCAGCGCGATGTTATTTTTTGATCTGCATGTGCACGGCTAGGGATTCGAATCGAACCTCGGACCTTCAAGTTGGTAGTTCGCAGGTCCAACCCCTCGGTCACCATCCTATCATCCTAATCTTGAGTTATTTTCCTGAGGGTGTGTAATGATTATTATAATTTTCCTTCCTAGGTTTCAGTCAAAATGTGAAATACAAATTTTGATATCGTCTAATACCGTTATATGAAATAGACACGATATTTTTTTTTATTTTCGACAAATTTTGTTAGTCTGGTTTAATAAATACCGTCTCAGGTTTTAGTAGTAAAAGAGAATTTACTTTTACGTACCCTTACTTTTCTGCTGCGGGCACGCAAAATTTATTTTCGACCAATTTTTCTATATACCGTGGATATACATTAAATATTAAAAACAAATATTTTTTTATAATATTTAAAACATATTTATTTTTGCTATGAAATATTTACCATTAATTGACTAATGAAAATTGAGATATTATGTTCTAAAGTTTGTTCACACTTATTAAAAATAATATATTAGTAACTTTTTAGGTGTTAATGGTGTTATATATAGTTACAAAAAAGATCATGTACTAAGAAAAATTATTATTAATTTATTTGTTTCATGCTAATTAAATATTAGAAACAAATATTTTTTTAATAATATTTAAAAAATATTTCTTTTTAAAAATAATATATTAGTAACTTTTTGGGTGTTAATGGTGTGATATATAGGTGCAAAAGTATTATGTACTAAGAACCATTAATATTAATTTATTTGTTTCATGCTAATAAAATATTAAAAACAAATATTTTTTTATAATATTGAAAAAATATTTCCTTTTGCTATGAAATATTTACCATATAAATATTGAGTAAATGTTTAGTAAATATTTACGTAATATTTTGTGCTATCTGAGACATATGTGTATTTTCACAGTAAAGTAACGATTTATCAATACAAAAAATATAGATTAATCCATAATAAACCAACTTTTTTATATGAAATACTAGTTTAGGTGTCATTATTTAAAAATAGTATTTAACCTGAGTATAAATTTAAATAAATCTTAATTAAATTATAAATAATATTAGTAAAGTAACATACCCATCTTTATCAAAAGCCTGATAACAAGCATCCATACCGATTACTTGATTTCACTTGAATTACAGGAAAATGTCTCACTGGAATCAGTGAAAAGTAACAACTCGGGGCGAATTCCTACATCGCGAAACGACCTAGATAGTGTGGATTCCAGAGCGCAATATTTCATGAAACGACAGAAAACCTACGAAAATTCATGTGTAGGGTGGCACGAACTAGCACCAATTCCAATGTTATAAGATTATGAACTATATTCCACTATGGAAAAGTTTTACAGGGTCTCGCTTTTCTCCTCCTATTTTCAAAATATAATTTCTCTCTAAGTTTCTTGTTATTATCTGATGGAAAAAAAACGTCCATTATTACCACATACTAATATATATATTTAAATTTAATCCTTTTTCAACGACAATGAGGGTTTCTGTTTAGAATACTCATTATATAGCTGAAATTAACTTTTTAAAATGAATATTAAAGTTTAATGTAGTGCCTAACTACATTATGATATCTACAGTAAGGCAGATTGTGCTTTTTGCATATTTTAGTTTAGGGTGTTTTTATGAGATGGCACTATTATTCATCAATAAAACAATATATTTCATTCAGTTTTCTAATCAATATTTGCAGGCCTATAAAGCAGATTTCCGCAGAAGCAACTTCGAACAAGTTTCCGCCCTCGAGCAAGGAGGATGGAGTTACTTAGTAACACGGGCCAAAATAAATTGCTAGCGGACTTCCTGTAAGGCATACATAGAGTGCGACCAGCCAGCAGCTAAATTGAAAGACAGACCGCTGTTTTTCAGAACCAGGCCGGAAATTTCCTTAAGGAAACCATCTTAGATGTATTAGGGTCAAGAATTAGTAAGGATTATAGTACTTGCTGCTACATAGCTTATAAGAAACTCGCAAATCTATAGCTATTTGCAATGGGAAGCTGCCAGAGACTTGAACAATGAAGAACAAAGCAGCCCAATCCTTCAATAGATCATCCTAACGAAGAGCTATGATAACTACTACCCACCCACGCCCCACCAAAAAATGGACCAAAACACGAGAGGCCAAGGCGCCAAATGGGCTGAAGATAGCCACCACACAGTACAAAAAACAGAAAAGAACAAGTCAAACAAACGGCTTGTTCTTTTCTTGCTTGCAAATCACAACAAAGAAAAGCACAGCGACCGTAAGACGCAATTAACAGACGCCAGAAAGTCAGGAAACGGTTTGCAGATCAGTGGGTTCAAATCTCACATACTCCATGCTCTCAATTCTTCAACTGTTATTGTTTTATATTGACCTACAACGACCGATTTATTAATAATAGATTAATTGCCGTATAACGCAAAATTTTCCTATTTGGCCTTCAGTTTTCACTAAATTTTCAGCTCTATTTTCTTGACCATAACTCAGGATTTTCTCTTGCAAATACGAATTCATCTATATTCTTTTATACAACAGTAATGAGCTATAAATCCTGAAGAAAAAATACTAATAAGTGTGAGGTCACTGTGATATTCCCAGACCAAATGGTGACGTGTGAAAAATGAAGGGGTGAGTGAAAGAGGGTGTCCTATACCCAAACATTTATTTGGAGAAAATTCAGAGTAAAGATAATTTGCTGGCAATTTGGATCAAATTGTATAATTTCATTGATAGTTGATTTCTAGCATTAGTTTCAAAACTACTAGTAGTTTTTTTGAAACAGTTAATTCCAAAAAACCTTGGAAATTTGAAATTTTTTAAAATATAACACTTTCTTTCATGTTGATCTACTGATTGATAAAAACATTACATTCCTTTATAATTTATAGACGCTTCATTGCTGGTTTCTGTAACCAACGCCAATGTCGTGAGACAAAGAAGCACTTCCAAGATCTTGAATCTGAAGCATTCAAGATTTGAATGCCTCAGATTCATTATTTCCCCATCAATGTTCCAACTCTTGCCTATTCGCGTCTGTTTCCGCATATCTTCAGGCAGAGGTGTTGCAGTTAAAATCGCTCATCACAAACTTCAGCAGTTTGGAGTGAAAATTGCTAGTTTCTTAAGCAAAATATACGGCTGGTGGCTTTTAGAATGATGTGCATAAACCAGACTCAACTGTGATAATATCCACTTGTCTTCATCTATGATAATTTCTATGTCGTTCTCACAGGTTGAGGATGTGGAGGATCTTTTATTGTCTGGCTCGATAAAATTGGCATTGAAAAAGCCTTTCCGGCAGAATGCTGGGTGAGTGTTATGTGGATGGTGTTCAGGTGGTGGAAGGATTAGCCGACATCGGTCGTTTCCAGGGTTTCACATTTCCACCTAAAAAACAATAAGTGTGGAGGCTTCTTCCGTGTCCCTCAGTATCTTCTTATACTCTGTTGATCAGTCTGATCTGCTATCTAAGCCACATAACATACCCCCTTTTGGGGGGATATTTTGTGATCTAAGCGAAGGAACTGAAACGCTTGTTTTGACGTTGTTGGACTCTAACTCTCTTCATGTTGGCGTTTGGACTATTCCGCTCCAGATGGCGGCTTACGGATGTAGGTCTAAGAAATAGATAAAACTGGTGTAATTTTCCTCTAATTTACATGAATGACAATGAATGAATTGTATTATTTTGAGCATGGATGACTGAAAATGAATTAAAGCCAGCAAATAAAGAAGCACGATGAATATTAGGCTCCTTATTTATTCCGAAAGTAACCAAGTCTTAATTTACTCTAGGTTGATGAGTATTGCTGGCATGAATGAGTGATAATGAGCACATAAACAAAAGCTGCTGACATAGATAAATATAATCGTAATTGAACCGTTAACTTTGAAGGTGGATGACGGCATCAATATATTTATGAAATTTGTGAAGGTTACCGTTTTAACCTTTACCTACGTTACATGTCAAATACTTCAGTATCTAGAGAATATATTTTGGATATTTAAACAATTAGCGTCATTTCCCTGTTGTGAATTTTTACACAGAATTTTTTTAAAAGATTCAAAGCTGACCCAATTTATCCGATTTGCTTGATCGATTGATTAAAAATTGCTTTTTGATATTTTTTACACTGAAACAAATCCCACAAATTTACTTTTAAATTAGCAAAACAATTAATCAAATATTTTTTAAAATCTACGACATTTTAACTACAGTAGTTTTAACAATATGTTCGTAGTATACATCAGAGATCCTCTAGACACTACCGGTCATTCCCAATGATGCATTGTATTCTCTGCCATCTGTGCGAGGTTTCCCAAATTGGGTGTGTCACTTGTCAGACGTCAAATGAAATGTTCGGTTTCGATGTGATATGTCGTTGGTTGAATAGTGAGTAGTGTTAGTGGTGCCAAAATGGCAGAAAATGTACGAGAAATCCCAGAACAACCTAAGAATTCAGGTTAGACCGGTACTTTAATAATGCTTCTATATATTCCATATACTTCGCATTGATTGTGGCCCCTCGGGTAGCCGTACTGAGGTGGTAAATTCGCTCATTATATAAGGTGAAAAAAATCACCATCTGTGGGTCTCATCGGTATTTTTTTTGCTAAAAAAACTAATAATCGATCCGTTTCTATTCTCGCTATGGGACTGAAAAGAAAACAGGCCAGTGAACAGAAGGTAGCCTCGGTCTCTATATAAACTGACAACCAGGCAATATTTTTTTGACACCCATTCATTTACAGTAGTTGCCTCTCCTCAAAAAACATTTTTCCAACGGATATTGTTTTGATTTGGAATTCGATTCAAAAGCAAACTCAAACATTAAAATTCTTTAATTGAAACCTTGAATGTAATTGGAAATTACCTACATAAAATGAATTGCAATCAAGCATGTTATTCATCTCATCTCAATGTGCAAACTAATGAATTCATAAACTTAAATACCAGTTATGGCAATATAACATATCGCCTTATCTACCATTTACTATTATAATAAAACATCTGCAGTTCCGATACGAACTAATTCTTAAAGTTCGAATGTTATTGTCCAAGGGGTTGAATGTGCTTTTTGAACATTAGAGTAATCGTTTGACTTGCGAGGAGTTCAGCAAATATTTTAATCTGCATAATATAAATAGATCCTGACATAAGTAGACTATGCAAATTCTTTGAAGAGTAATATCTGCCTTTTATCTTATCAATGTTCCTATGCAAAATCTCATATTCCAGGATAAATTTAGCAGGTATTAGGCAAACCTACTACGCATAATATTTACATATTTTTCAAATAATATTATATACGGGAAATGTTAACCAACTTTAATATATGCAGGTGACTAACCCACAAGGAAAAGGAATTTTCAATGGAATGTCCTACTTGTAGTTTAATATACAGGGTGAAATATTGTATTCTAGGAAACTCAGCCTTATTAACGAAATGGCAAATTACGCATCTTGTTTTTAATTGATCCCCATATTTGAAGTATCTAATCAAAAAGAAAATTCACTTCCAAACGGTTCAACCACTTCTGGTGTTATCTGATATTTTTCGTTACCGTACAATTTTGGCCTATTAAAACCGCTTAAAAACCAACGGATATTTGCATGTATTATCATTTTGTTGTTATTTCAGTATAGTGGTTCCCGAATTCGTTTGGCTCACCGACTACCTTTCATAGTCAAAACTTTCTTACGGTCCCTGGGTGAAGTCGACATAAATGCATAATATAAAAATTTCAAATTTATCTTTGATGTCTTGAATGATACATTTTGTTGAAGAAGTATTTATTGAAATTATAACTTTAGTTTCAAAATATAAATAAATTAATGACTTCGATAAACCTGATAGGATCTTATGAGTGTATTTATGTCCGGCTGAATGTTTGTGAGTAGCAACCGCAAATCCTCACGAGTACTAATTTCTAGTCGGTTTCTTTTTTGTGAGGAGGCTCATAACGGCACTGAATCCACGTTCGACCAAATAGGAAGACGGAAAATCAATGAGAATATTCTCTACGATAACCCATAATGCTGGATATAAATTGGGATCTGTTTTAACCAGAAATTGTCGTATCCTTGTTTGAACATTGGTTTCGGCCATTTGTGGATAATTCAATAAGTTGTTCCTATATGTATTCATCTGCATTTGTGCTCTGAGTTTGAATACTTGCAAGAGAGTGTTATTCTATAATTTTATATTAAATTATCAGTTAAATAGTTAATATTAACTGAGCCCCAATCATCTTAAATTGGAAATATTTGTCTCACAGTAACTCACAGGCGCCAATACTTTAATAAAATCAATAATATTCTCATTTACTTAATAAACCAAGTCGTTCACTAATATATACGTGGAGCAAAATGTGATTTGTAAGACAATCTAAAATCAAATTGCACATTATCTACTTTTTTGTTGAAGTATCCCTTTAATATATGTTTAAAAGTACCATAATAGAAAATGTCTCTATAGCTGGGGCTAAGAGAATGAATTGTATTCCACAGAGCAGATATAACGTAGAATTTAGATTGCAGAACCGATCTGCAGGGTACCTATTTATTTTATATACAGGGTGTCCCATTAATTGTTAAAGTGTCATTTGAACACATAAAAACGGAATCTTTTTATCGTAAATAAAGCATAAGATTTATACAGGGTGTCCCACTGGGAACCGCCGCGGTCGATATCTGGCAAACTATAATTAGCAGAAATTTGAAAATTGTACAGTGTGCCGGAGTCATTGGGGGCAGCGATCTAAAATATTTTCAACATGGCCACATTTCCGGTTATACCGAAAGGAGGTAGGAACTTGCTTATTTTAAACGGAACACTATATATTTTAACAATTTTGAATTCTACTCCTAATTCTAAATATATTTTATGTATAATATCCTATACCTAAGTAACCGTTTTTGATATGTATATGTATTTAAAATTTTATGTAAAAAATTACAGTTGCAGCCAATCGAATAACAATTAGTTTTTTCTATATTGGAATATGTGCTTCTTAATTCGAGTCGCATTTCTTGTTGAAAACAACTCACTTTAATCGCATTTCAACAAAATTTTAATAACTATTAACACATTGTTAAAAAGTAAGTTTCAAAATGACGTTGAGAAAACCGCCCAAAATCAATGTTTTCAAATGGAAACCCGCATTTTTTATCATTTCATCTTATTCAGTATTAAAAATAAGAGTAAGTTTGTGTACGGTTGTGTATTCCAAATGTGTTCCTACAATCAAAAAGTCTCAAAAAGCAGCTATTAAAAGAGCAAATATTAAATATTCAGTCTTAGAAAACCTGATAGTATGTAGCTATCAGTTAGTGTAAGTCACGAAGAAAGATTCACGATGGCCTATAAACCTGTAAAACTCACCAGTTTTACCATTGAGTTTAAGTTGCTTGCTGTAATGGTTTAATATCGATGTAACCTAATTTTAATTATATATATTTGATTGCTCAATTAAAGTATAAACTAGATAAATGAAATCTAAACATACCTCTGGCCAACGTCTGGGTTTTCTCACAATGAAAAAAAAAGAGTGTAAACAAAATCGCAAAAATATGTATATTAAAAGCATGAACTAAGCAACGACCTTGGAATGACATTCAAACAACATTAATATTTCAATACTCCGTCTTCCTTTAATTTTTATCTCCCCTCTCATCAGAAATCCTGGTCAGAATGCAGACAAGAATGCAGACAAGAATGCCAAGAATTTCAAAAAATCGCACCGCCGCATTCTTGATACCGCCTGGCATTGATAAACATTTCAGGAATTTTTACTCGAGTATTTAGTAGAATTCGGCGTAGCACCGCATTCCTCGGGACATCCCTGTTCCTATTGGTCCATGTCCCCCATTCATATGGAAGGTTCATTGATTAGCCTGTGACTTTGACATTTTATTGGTCCAATGTCTCCCATTCATATCGAACGCCAATTGAATAAGCATGTGGCTTTGACATTTACAGGTTATCAGTGATTTCCTACGATGTTGTTTTGGGAGTTTTCACTGTATAGGTACGAAATACCTGTTAATCGATTTTCAGAAATTTTCAATTTAAAAACGCGATATCAATCATCTTGTAAGGGCGTATTTAAAGAAGTTATTCCCAGAAAACCAGCCGTTGGTCAGAGTAATGTACATATAAATGCTGTTTACCCGTTTATACTTTTATTTTAGGAATCAACTATTAGTAATATTCAATTTCAATGTTGTTTAAGCACAACAGCAAGTAAACTAAACAAGTCTTACTTGTCAGGAAACGTTTGCTGCATTTTCTCTGTTTTTTTTTTAAGATCGAATATGTAATATTTGCTCTTTAATCGCTGATATCCACATTTCCCGTCTATTTAGTTCATATCTGGAGAAATAACAGGCGTTTTATCGCAGGGATGCAGAAAAGCTTGGAATTTGATCACGATTACTACGCCTTCCAACATGTCACTAAAATATACTTTTTTAAATGCAAACACTTAAATTGAAAGCACCATTTGACAGGGGCTTCTTTGTTCAAAAACTGTGCCGACTACAATGCCAGTGGTATTCCGTATCCGACGACGGCATCAATACGTAAAATGATGTGAAGCCAGACCCGGCTACGGGGGCACTTCTCCTTAATTAATATTATGATTTGTAATCTTTATTTGTGATGAAATAGGCTATCGACCCAATCAGTCTTTCGGCTCTTAAAAATGTCGTCGATTGCCTTTGTTAGTGTCCTAGTAGAATTGTTAAGAAAAGGGAGCCAGAATTTCTTATTTGTCTGAAAGCAAAGGGGGTTCAATCTGATCCAGTAATGGATCCATTTCACTTGCAATTGGAGCAGGCTTTCGGTTATCCCTCCCATGTTTGTTCGGTCGCACAATGGTTAATGTTTTGGATTGTGTAGTGGATTTTGAGAATGGATTTGATGCGAAAAAGAAGAGAAAAATGTGTGTATACAACAGCTGCGAATTAAAATTATGATTATAGAAACTAAAAGTTAAATTAAAACCGACATTTCCTAACCCTGAACCAAAATCT